AAAAAAAAAAAAAAAAAAAAAAAGACTACACTGGCACTATTCCCGGGGAAACCAGTCTACAGCATTGTACATAGAGTATTTAAACACAGGCCCCCCCACACCCACACCCACTCATATACAGCCACAGGTGCATGCACGAGGGAGCATCTCATCTGAAGGGAGCTCCGTCTTCCTCCACCCTCCTCAGTTACCTGTAGTATCAACATTTTCCTTCCACTCCTCCATGAAGTCCTTCATCCAGCTCTTACACTCCGCTTTTGATGTGCGGTATAAGTGGTACAGCTCCTCATCGTCTGTCAACTTCTCCTTCATCAAATGGAATTGAGGAGGGACATTGGCGCACTCTTTTAAGTTGGAGTCCAAGCAGAGACACGTCCCTCCATTGATGCAAAGGTGCCAGGATGCTGTGAACTTCCCACCAGTGTTCTGCTGACAGGTCATCTTGGCCTTCAGCTCCACAGAATCTGCCCTGAGGAGAGAGAACAGCCTGAGCTCTGGACAAATCCTTGGTGCTCACACAATAGCCACCTGCTATCGTCTACTGATCTGGTCCTGTTCTTCCTCCACTGCAGACTTGCTGCTGGACTTGTGGTCTGGGCCAACGTCCAATTGTTTCCTTTCCCACAAAATGGGATTCAAATCCCTAAAGATTATGCCTTCTCTTATTCCCTCACTGCACACTGACTTACCTGAGGATATCCAGTTCCCATGCTCAGGGTCAAGCAGTACTTCTCTGAAACTGTTGGCCAAGTCCTTCAGTATTTCTGACTGCTGCTCCCAAGTCTTGGTGCCGTTCACCTTCCTTCCAAGGACATCTGTGGCTCTGGCCTTGGCACCAGAACAGTCAGAGCGGACAACAGTCATCCCGTCCACTGTACCTTCGACTGTGCACCACTTCTCTAAGGATAGATGCTTAGGAGACACAATGATTGTATAGCAAAGATAGTGTGCACCTGAGGACAAAGCATTAGGCAGGATTGGGGTGGGGTGAGCTGGGAATGGGTGCCTCTGTCATCTAATCCTATCTGTGAGGGAGGAGAATCTCTGAAGGGCCAAGCTGCCAGAAAAAGGGCTTCTCCTCCCACACTGTGCTCTCTGCCTGTAAACCTGGCATTCCTGCCTTGCGGGAGGGGGAAAAGGACCTTCCCAGGCAGCAGCCTCATGGCCCAGGAGAAGGTTCACATTCCCTCTGCCCACGGGACTAAGACCACATTCATGACCTCTTGACCTCGATAGAAGAAAAGGCAGGATGGCACAAGGTCTTCAGAAGCAACTCAGGTGCTTTTTGGGGAGACGGTGAGCATGTAGAGCTGCCCTCATTTGGGATGAGTACAGGAGTCGGGTGCGCCACAAGAGTTCAGTGTAGGATTAGGGTTCCTGGGGTTGAGACTCAATGTGGGGAGGGGCTCTCCCATGCTAATAGTGACTTTCCTTCACTTGAGGAGGGGCAGCCCAGACCGCATCTCATAGTAAAAGGAATGAAGAGATCTAGAGTACAGGTAGCTATACGTTGCAGTGTGTGCAATCAATTTTAACTGCAAACATGTACTCATGGAAATAAAAGGGACACAAGGAAAATCTAGACCTTCCAAGAAATGCAGCGGAGAAAGGCTCCGCAGCCTCAGAGAAGGCACACCGCAGAGGGGATGGAATGTGCATGCCAGAACTTCTCCTGTGCACTCTGCTCATAGGAAGGCAGTAGGAGGCCTGTGGATCAAGCATGTACATGTGTCTGATGTGCTAATTTTGTGGTGAGCTGGCCACCACAACCAGGTACAGTTGTGCCTGCCTGCATTGCCAGTGTTGGGGAGGCTGACACAGGAGGGATCACTTTGAGTGTGAGTTGCCCAGAGAGATTCTGCACTAAATAAATAAATAAATAAATAAATGATTTAAATTTTTATTTATTTATTTATTTATTTGTGTGTGTGTGTGTGTGTGTGTGTGTGCGTGTGTGTGGCGAGCTCAGCCCACCAGGGGGCAGGGCTGGCTGGCATGTGGTGCTGGGGGATTGAACCGAGGTCCCTGTGCTTTTCTAAGTTTGTTCTAAGTAGGTGCTTTAGACCACTGAGCCATCTCACCAGCCCCTAAATTTTTTTTTTAAATGGCTGGTGAACAAATCAAAACTGACATTGGCATAGTGAAATAATAAAGCTCAGAGTAGAAATAAAGACAACGACATTAAACAGTTACTGTGACAGGTATTTGTCTAGGAAGAGAAACACAGGACAGGGGACAGGCCTGGTTCCCCCCCAGTGGCCTGTTGTCTCCAGAGGCCCTCGGCCTGAAGGCAGAATCAGGTAGATCTGGTGTGGCCTGGGAAGGTGAAAATCCTGCACGGAAGAGTGCTGGATCCCTGCCTCGGTAGTAACCACCTTTGGGCGCTCTCTCCCCTAGAGGAAGGCCAGAGTCCTGGGCTCAGAGCCAGAAGTCTAGAGAGGGCACTGTCTACAGCCACTGCCAGGGCTCTACTGGGAACATCAGGCCATGCTGGTGCCCTAGGTGGTGGGAGGAGGATGGTGTGCTGCCAGTGTGTGAGTTCAGGCAGGGCTAGAGGGGGCGGCCTAGAGCTTCTGTCTGTAAGATCGGCGGGCCTTGGGTACCTTGGCCCTGGGCATGTGGCCAGGGGCACAGGGGCACAGGGGTGTGATGGGAGCATCAGTGTTTCGGCAGGGAAGTGGATGCATGGGGTGGTGAGGTGTGGACTGCAGGGAGAAGATCTGCTGGCAAAGATTCTGGAGAACTGGGGTTGGGGCAGAAAATTTGTATCAGAGCCAGGAGGTTCAGCTTCCTGCCTTAGGAGCCCATTCACTCAGCCTGGGAGGCTGTACTTTCCAATTTTGGCCAGGTAGTGGCGCCTGCATTGGTCACTAGAGTGACAGGGCCTGGGCTTCCCTACAACCTCTCCCTCCCCTGTTCCTGGTGGTTTAAGGCTGATCTTGGTTCAGTGGTGGGGAGGAGTGAGAAGGGCTTAGGTGACAAGGTCAGGAGCGAGGAAAGGTTCCCGGGGAGCCGTGCGCAGGGAAGAAGGGCTGCTGGGACTCACCTGCCCAGGATAGAAGGGACTCACCTGCCCAGGATAGAAGGGACTCACCTGCCCAGGCTAGAAGGAACAGGTCCGAGGGCAGCTCAAGCAGAAGAGATAGGATGCTCAGGACTAAGGCAGGTTTCGCGGCCATCACCGGGTTTTCCGAGGATAGGGAATGGGGCGTCTGGAGGTGGAACCGTTGGCACAGGGCTGGGACCTGTGGCCCTAGCCCGGGAAGAGCTGACCGCACCTCCAAAAAGTCTAGATGCTTAGGAGACTCCGGGCTTCTGCGAGTTTTCTCCGTGGCTGTCCTAGTCACGCCGGAAGACGGATGTCCTCCGGGTCATTTCATGTGCCACCCAGGCCCACAGGGAGACCACCCTCCCGCGGTCACAGCTCTGTCCCAGTCAGCCCTACTTGCCCCCTGCCTTACCTCGGGCTGATTTGTCTTCTGCCTTCAGAGTGTGCTTGCAGTGCTGTTCTTAGAAGTATCAGAAGAGCGCCCTGAGTCTGGCTTGTTTGAGGGAAGTAACTTTGAATGAGCTCAGGGCTGCACCTCAGCCAGCACTGGAGGGGGAGGGCTGATGAGCCTAGTAGCTGGGCGGGGTGAGCTGGGGCTCTGGCTGGTTGGTCAAGGCCTCTGACTCACCTCCCCCTCCTCTCCCTTCCTCTCCTAACCCTCCTCCTCTTCTCCTTCCCCTGCCCCACCCCTCCCCTTCTCAGTCCCCCTTCCCCTCTCCCTTCTCTTCCTCCTCCCCCTCCTCTTCCTCCTCCTCCTTTTTCTTTCTTTTTTGTACCCTGGATTAATCTCAGGACATTGAGCTTGTCAGGGGAGCACTTATGCTGCTGCTGATCTATCTCCAGGCCCTCATTAAGCATTTTGTGTTAAGCTCTTTTCTTCTGTTTTTCTTTCTTTTTGTCTCTTTGGCCAGGGTCTGGCTGTGCAGTTCAGGCTGGCCTTGAGCTACTTTGTAGCCCACGTGGGTCTCCAACTCTCTAAGTTCCTCCAGCTTCAGGTTCTGGAGTGCTGGAACTATAGGCTGGCCTCACCTGACCAGGTCCCCATCCCCTCCTAAGTGTCTGGTTTTACTTCTGGGGCTACTCTGGAACTCACTTTGTAGCTGGAATTCATGGCTGTCCCCATGTTTAGGTCTTTAGAGTGCTGGGAAGACAGGCATGTGCCACCCCACAGGCAGGCATTTTGTTTCCTGTTTGCCTTGTCAGACAACAGCAGAGGTAGGATGCAGAGGACAAAGGCAGGTTTCCCTGCCATCACCAGTGTTTTTGAGACTAGGAAGGGGGCCTCTGGAGGTGGAGCCCTTGGAACAGGGCTGGAACCTGTGGCCCTAGTCCCGGAGGAGCTGCCTGTGCCTAGAGAAAGGTTTGTATCTTTTTTACAGGAAAGTCAGTACACTAAACGTGTGTTGATTTCTTGTTCTGGTTCATCTTACATGTCTACATTTTCTGTTATCAGACTTGGTACAATTGTTACAAATTTATGCAACTATTATTCCTTTTGAACATACAGAAATTGAATGGAAAAAAGAATGACTAGCATCTGTAGGTTGTGAACATCCCTTTCAGGCCAGAAAAAGGAGTCTTCAGCCTTACTTACAAGACAAGCTTCTTGCTTGGTGTAGGTCCACTCCTTCTTAGGTCCCCTCTTGAGCTGTCTTCACCTTCTGCTGTGGACTTTTCAAGTTGTCTTTTATAAGACCGGAGTCCTTCAGACCCCACATGCAGCCTCCTTAGAAGGCAACAGGTTTAAAGACGATTCTGCTATCCTATCAGCAAAGAATAATACTTGTAGTAGAAAGAAAGCTGAGGAAGCCATTTCTCTAGTTCTTTGGAATATGTTGGCCATTGGTAGGAAATGCCAGTTGCCCTGTGACCCAGCGACTTTGAGTGATGCTCTCTCTGTCCTTTCTGTTTCTTTGGGACATGTTCCCTGTTGTCGCCTACATCCAGGCAGGTTTTAGCCCACTATCCACTCACCAGGTTAATGCCATTTCAACAACTTCACAGTGCAGTGTGAGCTTTTGTTGCCCTGAGGCCAATGACCCCCTGTGGAGGTGAGAAGATGTGGGATTCTTGGTTTGTGGCTTTTGCTCTGTGATTTGCTTTTCCCCATTAGCAAGCTTACAGTGTTGGGAGGTGACCAGGGGCCAGATAGCCTCTTCTCATTGCTAGGACCCAGTCCTCAGGGACAAGAGAGTGAATGGAGAAAATAGGTGCTATGATCCCATAAAGAACTCTATTCCAGGACTCTCACAAATGCCTATGAGATGGCTAGTGGGGGCCCATGATTCCTGGGGGTATTTGCTTGGGTTTGGCAGTTTTGCCTTTGTCCTGTCATAGATCACTCCTTCTACAGCCCCTCTTTCGTCCTCTCTGCCTCTCTCACCCTCTGTGCCTTTTCATCATTCATCCTTTCTGCCCCTCTGCCTCTGCCTCTGCCTGTCTCTCTCTCTTTCTGTTTTCCTGCTGGCCACTGCAAGGTAAACAGCTGTGCTCCCCCATGGTGTTTCTCCCTCACCTTAGGCTTCAAACAGCAGAACCTGTTTATCATGGACCTCTGAACCTGTGAGCCAAAAGTGATCTTTTGTCTTTTAGGTTGTTGTTCCCTGATGCTTTGTCACAGCAAAAGAAAAATGAATATCACATTGGTCATGCTTCTGAATTATGTCCATGCAGTTTGCTGCCATGTCACCCCAGGGATAGGGAGTAGCAGTCAGATGTTGGTCTACCAAATGTCCTCATGGATCTTATAGGGCCAGGGAGATGGCTCAGTAGTATAAGCACTTCCCTGGGAAGCACAAGGGCCTGCATTCAAGCCTCGGTTACCCCCCCCAAAAAAAAAAATCTTCATGGATCTTATAGCTTGGTTCATCTTTTCTGTATTGCATAATCCATGTTCTTGACAAGAGTCTTACAGATGCTACACCTTTTGCTGCTTCTTCTAGGATGAGTCTTTCTTTGTTGCATTCTTGTTTTGAGGTTAACCTCCACATCCCAGGCAATAGTGGTGAGATTTGCTAAGCACACAGTGTTTACTCATGTACTCCTTTTCCACCTAACAGTTTGGCTGAGCTTGTCCTGCATTGCTGATAGGAGTAGTTCATTCTTGCTGATGGGAGGCTGGGTGAGCATTTGGAAACCCAGGCATGTTCTATCACTGTAGTCTGGCCCTTTATTTCTTCTTTTTTTTTTTTTTTTTTTTTTTTTTTTTTTTTTTTTTGCAGAACCGGGGATTGAACTCAGGCCCTTGCGTTTGCCAGGGAAGCACTTATTCCACTGAGCCATCTCCCTGGCCCCTTTATTTCTTCTTGAGTCAGCATCAGGCAGATGTTTTGTGCCCATATGTCATAGCTAGACTCTTGTCTTCAATGAGTCTTACCCCGAGAGATAGTGAGGACATTACATATCACAGTATTTATCTTTCTCTTAGTGTCTGAAACACAGGTTATTTGTACCTGAAGTGACACAAAGGGCTACACCTCGACACAAATCCAGGTTCCATAAACTGTTGTTCAAGTGCCGATCCCATAATGCCATTAACTAGCCCCTGGAACGTGGGTTCACTGTGTGTTCTGGCATCAGTATGTGAGAGAGCAGAAAAAGTCTGGCCACTCTTCCCTGCGACCCTCTGAGCAGTGCAGTGTCACATGCTTCCCAAACCATTGATGTCCCTCTCTCTTGTTGAGCAAGTAAGGTGGGGATGCCTGATAGGCATGCTTTTCTCCTTATGTGCCTGGCCAGGATCTGTGTCTCAGTTTTCACTGCCTTCCCAGTGATGTGTGATGAAGCAAGAAGCCTGGGAGCCACAGCAGGGAGTGTGTAGGCTCCAATGCCCAGTGGTGAGTTATAGTGAGGGATTCATGCACTGCACACCAAAACAACCACTTGCATTATTTAAAAAATGTTTTTTTGATAGTGATAGTATGTTGACTTGTATTGAATTAATGGCCAGATGTGTGCTAGGTGACTGAGCTACATCCCCAAAATGGGGTTGTTCTTTTTTTTTTTTTTTTGTGGAACCGGGGATTGAACTCAGGCCCTTGCGCTTGCCAGGAAAGCGCTTATTCCACTGAGCCATCTCCCCGGCCCTGTTCTTATTTTTTTTTAATTTTATTATTATTATTATTTTTTGGCTCCGCATGCCTTCAGGGCAGGATTGGTTAGCTGGAGTTGTGGGGACTGAACCACAGCAGCCTGAGCCTGACTGCTTTGTTGAAGCAGTCATTTAAAGAACTGAGCTAAGGGTCAGGTCCCCCAGTTGTTCTTATTTCTATAAAGCAAAATCCAAGGAACATGTGACAAAGGACACTCAAACAGTGAGAATTTCATGGCATCAGAAGAGTTCATTCAGGCCAAATTTACATGTATAAAAGCACTAAGCAGATATCAGTATTTAATGTTGCTACCCAAGAGTTTGAGGGTGCTCTCCTAGTGTGATTGGCTAAATCCCTCCTAGTGTGGCCCACCCAGAGGCAAGCAGAAGTGGCCTCTATCCCTTGATTTTACACAGAAGGCAAGATTCAAGGCCTCAGAGCATTGGAATGCTCCTAGAATAGGTTTCTCATAGGAGCCTGGCTCACCGCAGTAGGAGGGTCCAAAAGTCCTCCTCCTTACCTCTCATTACTTACACCTCCTCTCTGAGCAACAAATGTGTGAATGGCTTCTGGAGTAAAGTGAGTTTATGATTGACTTCTGGCTTCTTGGAGATCTGTATGATCATTATTTATGGAGCATACATCCCTGCCTGTGGCTATACAACTAATGGTGAACTTGTAGCAGCCAGCTGAACTGAGTCAGCATAGTGCTGCGTGTGGATGACTCAACTGACGAATGTTGCCAGCAGCATAAATGGAGAAGTGGAGGGCAAGATGATGTGCTGTTGATTCTCCTGGAAAGGTGTGTCACCCTGGCTTTCCTAATATGAAGCCAGCTGTTTTCATTGTTGGAGGAGCTCGAGTCCTTCCTATCACTGAGGATCACAGTGGTACTTGTCTGATGAGCTGTATTACCTACCTTGCACATAGCTTCCTGGGTCCAGGGCAGATCCCTCAGCCTGTTGGCACAGATCCTTCATCTGTTGGTTCAGACTTTCTAACTTCTGACACAGACCTTTGGGCTTCCCCAGTCGAGATCCTTCACACAGACTTTCATGAGTCATTGTTGTGCAATCTAGGCCTCCAGAGGGACTTGTGGGAGACACTGCTGTGTATTCTAAATCTTCAGCTGGACTCATGCAGGACTTTTCCTAGGGACCCAGGCTCTTCACGGGACTCAATGAGTCTCTCTTGTGTGGACAGATCTCCTGCACTCTTTTCATTTGGCTCCATCATTGAATCTTGGAAAACAATCCTCTGCATGATATATCTGATACATGGCCTTGTGAACCCTGGCTCTACCACAGGAGGAACTAAAGTCAGTGAATTGGGTGATGACAATAACTACATTCTGAGGTGGTAGAAGCCAGGAGCTGGACATCAGCTATGTAAGGAAAGATGTG